GAAATGGACCGTGTTTTCAAACAAGAAGCCCATCATTTTTTAATTTCACTTGATTCTGCCAAAGCAAAATTGTTAAAGTGTAATTCAAGGCGAACTGACAAAAGCAACTAGCGAAAGTGTCAAATGCCTCCTCCAAGCCGAACAACTCCAGGCAACTAGCCGTCCAAATGAAACTCACCCAAAACCGTATCATGGCGATCCGAGTGAGCTGAGCGAATTCGATCTCGATGCTGACGCAGCGATCAGGATCCATCTCAGCTCTCCACATCTTGCCCTGATCGGTGCAGGCGAACGACTCGACAAAGATCGACTCCACACTGCCCACAGATCGACTGGCATTCGACGAAATCTGTAACTCAAGCATTGTTGGAGCCTAAGAGGTGAAGAATAGCTTGGCAACAAACCTTGGCCACTTCTGACCGTTTTCCGCTATCCGTGAAAATCTCGATGGCATTCAGACCGACGTAGGTGGTGTCACCCCAATTCGACAGCAAGTCCACACGTAGTAAGTGGCCGCTTGGAAGCTCCGGGATTTCACTACTGAAGGAGTAGAGTTAAACTCAGAATAAACATTCCAGAGCTATTATCAGGGCACGTGCTGCCGATGGGGGCAAGCTTTTTCAGGAAGGGTACTCCCCTCAAAACTTCCTACTCTCGTGAGACTCCCTCCCCTTGCCACCCTTCATTCTACCGAGCATATTTCTAAACTGTTACGACTTCTTATACCTCCCCCGGAATTTTTTTTCCAAAAAGTTTCCGGTTCCTTCCCTGCTCCCCCTCCCTAAAAAGCTGCTGTTCGGCGCCAATTATGACCCCTCACCCTCCGGCGATTAAAACGACTCCCTCGCTGGAGTTTCCCAGCCCACGCTCTCGACAGAGATACAATATACAGTCTTGTTCGCTGCGGATGCTAGGGCGTATCAGGGAAATATCTGTGTTAGCGAAGCGTCAACTTTTCCTCTAATTGTGGAAGCTCTAAAGCGACCACAGTTGGTGGGGAACGGGTTGACGCCGCGCTAAACTCAACCCCTTGACACTCGACTTGACCTCTGTATCCGTAATGGTCAGGACTGTATAGCGATACCTCAATAGATCATAGAAATAAAGACAAAAATAGTATCCCATGTGATATGTACTGGATGGAAAATTTGAGAAGGCTCTAGTAGCCTTAGTGAGGCCATTTACAGTCCTTATCCGCGAGACGGAGTAGGCGTGGCTTTTGAGCATGGCATAGGACGGGTTACGCGTGGGATGCTTCAATTTGAAACAGCTGCCATCTTGTTCTGTGTTGGATGTAGACATGATTACGACTGTTGCAAAATGAAAAACATCTCACGAAACCTGAGCCGCCGCCACTTTAAAATTGAGTACGCAGCCACGCCTACCCGATCTCCGATTTTCGAGATAAAATATCTCTATGTGTCAGACCTCGGAACAACTTTATCCCGAATGAATCACCTTAAATGGAGTAATAACCACTTGAAGCTCCTTCTTACAGCTTCACAGGATCAATTCCTTATTTCCATTACAGATATGCTATATTTTGCAAAGGAGATCCTCCAGTATTACCTCCCTCACCAAATTGTTTCCGCCAGAATAGTCGCTGAAATATAATACAATTGACTTAATAAGAATACAGCACGATTCTTTTTGTTTTTTTTTATTATGATGCTGAGCTTAATTGGCAAAGTCATGCCCAGGCGTCTCGTCTAACGCGCATCCTTCCACCTTTCTGGCCGAGCTGCCGTTTAAGCTGACCATGCGCTATCCGTTACGCCACCAGGGCCCGCTTTTACCCATTCAGCTTATCAGCATTCTTGTGATAACATTCGGAACGCGTACTGCGGCGTTAACAGCAGTTATCATAACAAAACAACAAAGCAAGTAGATGGGCTAAGATGAGCCGAGATGATTTGGGAAGAAGGTTCTGATTGATAACTTTGGACTCACAACGAAAATTCGTCCTCGCCGTTAATACCGTTCATGGCGCAGATTGCGGTTGGCTCACCTCTAACCGTGCACGACTGACCACATTTCCATCATCAAATTGGGATAAAATTCTCTTCTGAAAGGAAAAAACGAGCGATTGTTAATTACGCCACATTCTGCGAGAATCTCCACATTTGAAAAAAAGACAAGCTAAAGTTCTGCTGATGGGCTGAAGCAGCTCACAACGAAAGAACATAATAGTAATAGAAAGAGTTACTGTAACTCGGGAAATTTTGAAGATTACGGTATTTTTCAAGGTCGAAGGAGGTGTGGGGACTAAATCTTAGGAGCTGTAGCAACATTCCAGCCGTTCGTTCTGCACATGTTGACAGATAAAAACATAACAATGAAAAGTGCCCCATTGAGCGGCCACGGCCAGAACACCTCCGGATAACTGAAGGCTAAGCGATTCCCTGGTATTCTTGGCTTATCGTGGTACTTAAAACGCCATAAATTCGCACAAACTTGCCAACTTCGACAATAAACGAGGGTGAAATCAATGGAATGCCGCGGTCATCCCGTTGTTACCATGGCGATCACCTACGAGCCTTCCTCTACCGACGGCTTTCCGTGGGTATTTTCAGCTCATCGCGAACTTAAGCCTGCTAATGATGGATTTGGAACTTGCGATTCTTCAATCTGAGTTTTCAACATCGACATGATAAAAGGATAAAGGATGAAGTTCTTCGCGTTGATCCAATCTTTGATGCGGACGCATTCTACTTCATTCAGATAGTAGTGGCTTATTGAATGCGATGTGGCCCAATGGCTTGCGGTGGCCAGCCGATGTACAAGTCAGTGTTTTATCCTCCCAGACGAATCTGGTACCAATTTACCGTCCCGGAGGGTAGAAGGCTTGGTTGGCCTGGGCGGAGTCGAAGAACACGCGCGCGCGAGATGTATAGCGTGCCACTTGTTTCAACACATCATGCTCCGCGTGCATCGAAGACATGATATATGACATTATTGACGATAACAACGCCGCACGTCTAGGGTGCGCCATGGCTTTCTCGCATTCAAGTACAGATAGAAGATGGTCTATTTAGCCTGCTCCCTGCATGCGATCAGGTGTAGCAATAAAAAGGCGCGGAATGAATAGGCAGCCAGAACACGCTTCAACGCCATGATGATTGGCGGTTCCGGATAAGACAATTAATGGAGAAGTGCCTCTCGGCGGCGCCCCGATCACGGGCCCCCGTCAGCACGCCCTGTCGTTTTTCTAAGGATTTGACAAAAATGCTATCAGATAAAATATGCTATAAATTGCGCCTTATAGGGAAGGAAATGAGCTGTGTTGCTTTAGGGCCAGGTGTCTTCTCAACTTCTAGCTGTAAACCGGGTCAAGAGGATTGATCACGTGCTTCAGGCTGGGGGCAAGAGACATTAAGTGGTCAGGGGCGGGAAGTTGTCACGGGGCTTCTCGTAATTCCAATTCGCCGCTTTAATATTAAAGTTATTAATTTGGCAATATTGAGGATCCTACTGCCCTCCTACTCTCCAAAACCCGGGCAGTCTAAGCAGTCTAACAGCTGCTTGAGACGGCTACACGCAAGAAAACCCATACATCATTAGGAACCTAACTGCTCATTAGGAACCTCTTCAAATTGAACACAGGAGTCAACTGGGTCCAAAGCAGGAGCGATCCTATTTACTTTGCTATGAACTTGTCCCAAGATAGTTCTGACCCTATAAGCATGATTGTCGCATCACTTGGAGCGCCGCGAGCCGGAGCCTGTGAGGAGCTGTTGATAGGGAAGGGGTTACAGAAACAGGCGCCTTATGTATACTCGAAATCCCTGAGATCGGGTAGGCGTGGCCGCATGTTTCAACTTAACCTGAAGGTGTCTATGCTTCTGGTGAGATATTTTCATCTTGACACAATTGTTGTCGTGTCTCTGTCCAATACAGAACAAGATGACAGTTGTCCCAGACTGGAATATTCCACGAGTAACCAATTCCGTGCCATGTTCAAATGCCACGCCTACTCTGACTCAGGGATAAGGAGTATACATAGGAAAAGAGTAATCACACTTCTGCACAGTAACCGAGAGAGTTACCACAAGAAATCTGTAACGAAGTTGAGAATAGCAATTCAATCTTGCCCCATTACGAAGCAAACCTGATTTCAGCAAAAACACTTCTGCTCTTGATAGGAAATCGGCGAGGCACCTGCCTAGTAGCGGATATCCAAGGTAACGAGCCTGATGATATTAACAGCGAGATTGATGATATTAACAACTGGCGGATACGGTAAATAGAAGAATCCGTCTTAATTAATAGCATTTCGAGATCCTGTCCAGTTAAACTTAGCTTCAGGAATGATCATTAGAAACCTCTTCAAACTGAACAGCGGGGGTCAACTGGAGGTCCAAAGCTTAAAAAATGAATGTTCATGTGTGTTTGTGGAGGTGTAATTTAAGATATTGTTCAGTTTTACACAGTGCATAGGAATGAACTCCATTAAAATGACAAGAATTATTTCGCAGTACGAGGAATCGCTGCTACCGTATTCTCCGAGCTTCGCTTGGTCTTCCAGGTTAGGGGCTCTTTTAATTGCAATGGTATGTCACCTCTGGCTGCCGAAAGACTAGTTTATCCATTTACCGTGGCGTATTCTGTTTTAGCCTTTGTCGCAACTGCGGCTCAACTTTGGCCCGGTTCCAGGTCAAAGTATTTAGAATCAGCTTCGAAATCCATCTTTATTCGCAAATCTTTATTAGTCCCGCTCAAAATTGAAAAAAGACTAGCAAAATAATCTAACCAATAAATATTCCTGTAACATACACGCAACGAACAAAGATCATGGTGAAAAAGCATCTGAACCTCCTATACAAGCGTGTATCGTGGGCTGTTCGAGAGTGAGGAAAACCTGTCAACGGGTAAGATAACAAAGTCTCTAGCACTAACAATTACGCAAAACGAGGTAGATGAATGTGTTTAAAGTCTCTGTCAGAGAACCGGCTCAATGCTGTGTCCATTGAATACTTTTCAGATCGATTCCTTCTTGTACCATTTCCCATAGCGGGCTCAACTCTCGCAATCGTAGAACTTCTTTTATGCACAAATCGATGGTCATCTGGATCTGAAATCATGGAATCGAGCCAAATAAATAATGTTTCGTTGGGCTCAGTGTGTCACAATTCCGCTGCCCGTTATTAGATGGGGCGCTACCTAACCTAACACACTAACAAGTTGTTGTGACATAGTCACACCATAGTTGGGATTATCCACTGCGGCCAGGGCACGTTTGTTTGGGAAAATTTCTACAAAGTACGATCGCCTTCGGAACTTCCTTCTCTGGTACCCCCCCCCCTTCCCTTACCCCAACCTCCCAAAAAACCCTATGTCAAACGACGTGGATATAACTCATGTGAAACAGGAATAGCCGAGAAAAGTCAACCACCGAAACCACTTCTCAGGGGCTAATACAACCTCCTCCCTTTAGCGAACAAATATAACCTCTCTCCTGCAGGGGATCTCCAGCATGCGATGTGCCCTGATCTAGGCAGCCGAATTACTTGCTACTTGTAAGTTGTTTTGTTTTTGACTTTTTTGAGGGAATTTTTCACAGTCGCGAAGAAATTTGTCCGGTTGCTGAATTTTCCAGGTTTCCTTTTCCCGTTTCATGCTCGCATCATTCTAGTTGCCAGCGCTGTAGAAATACAACAACTACTTCTGACCTTTGAAACCAGTAGTTGATTGATGACGCCGCCCCCCCCCCCACCTTCCCCCTCCACGCCTTTCCTCAAAAAAATTCTGGAAAGTTTCGCAGAAAACTGGGAAAAAAGGTAGGAATCTGGAGAAATTTTGAAGACGGTAGGTATATTAATACGAGAAGAGGTCGTATTCAGATGAGATAGTATATTGGAGGTAAAACTTAGTGGGAAAACAGGGTGGAGGGGTAGGCGGTAATATTTTTCAAAGAACGGTCCAAAATCTTGCACCCCGTTTCACACATTAGTTTGGCTGTACCCTGCGTGCATATAAAATTTGATGAAAAGGGAACCGGTAGTACTGCTCAACGTCTCGAGACACGTCACTAACTTGTTATGAGAAGTCAGTGACATCGTGTCGTCCATGTCATCTACCTCTCAACAAGTAAACAACTGTACCGCTCTGTTCTACATTAGTTCTTCTCTTTGAAAACAAAAACAACACCCAGATCTACGGATTCTTATTCGTTCCCGTTTTACAATACTTTTACACCGAACTGAAAAAAAACTTGGAGGGGTACTTCCTCATTTCTGTGGATTCCGCTACGGATGCGTATACGAGGCCTAATTGACAACTTGAAACTCAATTCTCTAATCGCGGTCGAATTCCTCTGGTTCGTTCACGCTGGAACCACTCCCCCCCCCACAGTTTTCGGCTTGCGCGGTATGCACAATTATGCGCGTTTATGGGACCTATACATTCAATTTCACGAGCAATTTTTGGCAGTTTTGTACACCGCCTGCCTCCTTGAGCTTATAACCTAGTGTAAGTTTTTAGCCTGTACATAAGTGACTACTGCTTCTTACTTCTTTTTCAGTGGTAAAACGTCCAATACCAAATCGAATCGAAGAATGGGCCAAGTCTTCTCCTGTTCCAATAGCACGCAATACGTACGAAGGTTCTAGTGATGCTGATGTGCATGCACTGCCTGACGACAAAGCGATGTTCTTCAGAGCCATCAATAATGATTCACCTGAAACATATGAGAACGTGAATCTGTGAACTCACCATTTTTGGCGCTGTTCGATAAGAAGGGGCATTTGCATTCAAGCTAGTTTCCTTTGTTAGTTCATGTTAAATAACAGTTTACTCTTCGATAAGACCTGTAAACTCCTGTGAAGCTGCGAAATGTGCGAGTGAGCCATTTTGGTCACAGGAATTCACAGGTCTTCACAAGGTGGCCTGTACAAACAGCTGAGTGAACATTTGCGGCCCCCTCCAAGCCAAATCATTCCCAATTTCCTTCATGGCCTAGAGATGAGAAGAATACGGCAGAGGGATAGCGCAACCTCACCTTCAACATATGCAAAAGAAAGATTCACACATCCATGATAGAAATGTTCAGGATCACCATTCTGGATAATATCACCCAACTGCGATTTTATGCCGTCGATAAACATTTTTGAAAGTCGTTGAATATGAGCTGCGTCCATTTCTGGAAAGGAACGAATGTAAATCATCAATCGATAACAGTTATTACTCCTAGGCAGCGTTCAGACTTCGCGACGGAGTGAATTAATGAAACAACTTGGACCATATAAAAAGGGCGCTGTTCGGCTTGAGAGGGCATTTGGCACTTACGCCAGTTCCTTTTACTAGTTCAGGTTAAGTAACAGGTAGCACTTTGGTGAGACCTGTAAATTGGTGTGAAGCTGAGAAATGAAAGTGAGCCATTTTGATTACTAGATTTACAGGTCTACAAGGTGACCTGTGCAGGCTTCAGTGATTTATGGTGCCCTCACCAAGCCGACCTGCGCCTAGCAAACGTAAAGAAAAAACTCGTACCCATTTCACTGTTTGCAATCCGGCATGCCTCTCCCAGACCTACGCAAAGTGGTGTGGGAAGGGTTCCCGACCTGAGTCCACGTTCCTGACCACCGCCACTCATTTGTGCTTCCAGACGAACGCGTGGTCGTCGACGAACGTACAGTGCACCCACACCTAAATAACTTCTGAGTGAACAACAGAGTTAAGGAGAGAGGCAGATCTTTGCTGGATACCTTTCGGGCCGTAGATCTTGTGGCCAGACATCGACATTAGATCAACTTTCAAATCGTTCACATCCATAGGTATTTTACCCAACGCTTGAGCAGCATCTGTGTGAAAGGCAACCTTCCGCTCTCGACAAATTTCTCCTAAAACGAAGAAAGAGTATTGCTATGAGAGCAAATAACACACTTCTACTCGTGAATTTTCAGACGTAAAACCCTTCGGTATTTGAAGGTACATTTCACAACTAGAAGGAGCGAGGTTCAGTTTTCAAATTCTACGAGCAAACTAATTTAACAATATAAGGAAAAGCAGAAGAACCGTCTAAAACGCCCGCAAATATGGCCCTGCTTATTCCCCTGCACTGAACGAGCATGCGGTGACTGAAAAGCTCAGCGAAGCGGACGAGATACCAGCTGACCGGGGAGAAGAACACATAGTAGCACTAGCAACGGAAGGTAATATCTGAATGTCATGGGAGGGGCAGACTGAATAAGAAGTGGTCCATATTAAGTCACAAGCCAATGGTGCTCTTACCACTCGTGAAACTGCGGGGAAGATCAAGACACTAGTAATTTGCCGCTCAGTCGCGCGCAGCGGTGGGCACGCGCGCGACTGAGCAGCACGGCGTTTTTGGAATTTGCATTAGCTCGACGATCGGAGCACCGGATTTAATATAGTGTACTGTATCGAATACATCTGTGGCTACTTTCAGCTATGAGTAACATCGTCACTTGCGGGCGCGACATGAGACGGAACCCACACCAGCGTGGCGAATTACGATTGTCATGACACACCCCTGCGGATCTGCTCATCAAATTTAGCTGCCAATTAATCGCGGAATTCTTTGAATAAATGAACAGCAAGCAACGTGCCCCAGCTACAGTAAGAGCCAACTCACCGATTTCCTTAATTGGCTGTATCACGCCTATCTCGTTGTTCACTGTCATCGCCGACACCAGGCATGTTTGCGGAGTGATAGCCTCCTGGAGGGCCTAAACTCTTCAAATAAGTAATTAATATCATGTTTAAAGACAGCTCCCGCGATAAAAGTGTCAAGGATAATTGCTGATCAATTATGAAACAGTAGCTGATAAGTAATTCCTCTAACGATGGAAAAAAAACCAAGAACAGCCCTCAAGAACACCATAAACAAAATTGCTCCCTTACAGTTACACCGCCCTGCGGTCCGTGGGCAACCCCTGGCTCACAAATCGCTTTATGGCATTTCCCAGTAGTGGACAACATCCATTTCAAAGAAAAATATGAAAAACAACAAAGACACGAACGAAAAACACTTGAAAAAAGGAAAAATTCAAAAACCTGGCGTCCGAATTTGGGGTTACGTGCAGTGTGCAGCTTTTGGTGCATGTCGAGCTTTTGCACCATTCGTGATTTTTACGCGTTTTACCTTACGAGATGGGTTGCAGTTGACTGTATGTGCTCCCAATGAATAAAATGTGATGAAGGAGAGCAGAATTATTTATGGGCACGAGCGCGGTCAGCAAAAAGTACATGCAGTTCCGATTAATGCCCGCCGTCCCAACAAAGAACAACTGAGCGGCTCTCCGTCAGAGGGCAGCTAGCAAGTGGGGCGGTCCAACTGAGCGGGCGTTAGAACTAGAACTTTGAGCGGCTGTAGCTCGCTCCTCGCTCGCTGTGGAGTCGCGAGAGTGGGATAGTATCTAGCTTGGGGGCTGAACTACCTGCACAAGGAAGGACGACCATGTACTACTTGAGCGCAGGGCTGTATTTAAAGCGTCAAATCCCATCATACCACCTAGTAAATCGTGCCCAGCTTCTTCCGCAACATAATAATCTTGCGATCGACAGGGTTAATTATCAGACTGACCATGAGAATTATTACCTTCAGATCAACACGGCCTCCTTGATCCACTGGAAGATACGTCACTTTGAATCCTTCTGTTTCCAATGAGCGACAGGAATCCAGCACACATTTGTGCTCCTGAAATATACATCTACGAAGCCCATTTAAACACAAAAAAACCCTTTAAACTAAAATTTGTCGAACCAATCAGCTTGCTGCGCTCACCGTTTGTAAAGTGATAACGTGATTTTTTCCTGTGTGTCGTTGAAATTTCGCTACCCCTTTGATCGCAATGTTGTTCGATTCTGTAGCACCAGACGTGAAAATGACTTCTCGAGGATCAGCCTGCAATCGACCGATTTCGCGCTAAAGCTTCAAAAGTGAACAGATAACCACAAAAGGTGGGAAGTTCCACAATAGAGGGGTTAACCTATGAGAACTGACCTTTATGAGTGTTGCCACGTGTGCACGAGCCTTCTCCACTGCTTCTTCTGCTTTCCAGCCGTATGAATGAGTTCTCGAATGAGGATTACCGTATTCATTTATCATGTATGGAAGCATGGCGTCCACCACTCGAGGATCCTAGACACAACTTTTCTATCAAAGAAAACGTTGAATAACGA